GTGTTTTGGTGCAATAATTCCCCCTGCGCTACGGGAAGCCCCGTTCGGTTCCTTTTTGACCTCCCTGTCGTTGCATGTACAGACCAAATGACCAACAGCGTGGTTGTGTTTTGGGGAAGACATTTCACCACTTTTTCTTTCCAGCCCCCTCCCTGACCCCCCCCTGACCTCAGACCGCTTCTCCTTGGGGTCCCACCACCTCTGTTCCAGGTGCCACCTGCCCTCCCCGTGCTGGGAGCCTGTCCATGCAGTATTCCACGAGCAGTGTGGGGCACGCACAGCTTGCACTCGAACTGGGGATTGGGTTTTTTTTTTGGTTTGTTTTTTTTTTCTTTTCTTTCAGTTTTTTTTTTTTTTTAATTAATGTACTTGAAGGCTTTCCGAGCCCCCCGTGGAGTTGTACCGTTGCTGTACTGTGAGCTAAGTGTCCTTGTTTTCTATGTGGATCTTGAACCCTGGCTTGCTCTGTCTCACTGGGCTGGATGACACTGTATGTTGCCTCTTTTCTCCTTCACCCTTTCCCTCCCTGCTAGCCTCCCTTTCTTCTCCCAAAGCTTTGGGTGCAAAACAGCTTCCCATTTTGTGGAATTTTTATGTAGAATAAACATTTGTAACTGTAAAGCTCTGGCTGGCACCTCTCTGTTTCAGGGGAAGGGAGGAGGTGCTGGGGAGCAAGGGCTGGGGCACTGACCATCCCACCACCCTGGGAGAGTACAGGGTGGGCCTGATGCAAAGCACCCCCAGGAGTCACACTTCTGCCAGGAGGAAGATCTGCCCTCGTGGGACACCCACCTTTGTACTGAGGGGAAGGTGACAGGATCCAGATGCTCTGTTCCACCTCCATACTCCCCCCTGCAGGACACAGGACAGGAGGACTCCCAAGGACTCCCAAGGGCAGGACCACTCCAACCAGCAATGCTTGTGACTCGTTGACTCTTTAGTGAGAAGGCTGGATAGAATGTGCTGGCTCACCTGGAGCTCCAGATGGCTCTCAGCACTCTCAGGAAGGTAAGCAATGCCACTGCAGACACAAAGTGGCCAGTGCCCTGGCTGCCACTCCACCAGGAAAACGGGGTGAAGCTTTGCAGTTGGCCCTTGGGCACCACCAGAGTCACTTTCCAACTTAAAGAGCCACAGTGGCCTGCCCTGGCAAGTCCCAGGCCTGGGGTGCCCATCTGTGCCATCCACAGGAGGCTCACTGGAGGGACCAACAGCACCTTGCACAGCAGCAGCACCCAGAGCCGCTCAGAAGCGAGGGCGGCGCTTCCGACCCGTGTACTTCGTGTCCGCTCGCACCTCCCTGTGGGGAAAGCAGGAGAGCTCAGCAGGAGCCACGGGCCCTCCTGGGAGTGGCAGGAGTC